CTCACACTGACTTTGGTTACAAGCTCCCGGTGATGAAATCCTAGTATCACATTTGTTTTACATAGATGATCTTAAAGTGTTTACTAAGAATGAAGCGATTGTCTCCCAAATGTGGTTTTACGTCAATGATTTTAGCAATGACGTCTACATGAAATTTTGTGGAGACAAGCGTGCAAATATCAATTTAAAGATAGTCGAAATGACGTCAGAGGATATCGAAGTGAAAAAATAAGGCTTAAAAGGGGGAAGAATGAAGCCAGAATCGTAAGCAGTTCTAATAGCTCTAGATCAGCGTCGAGAACACATTATGATAAAGCGATTCTCAAAATTTCCCAAGATGATAAATGCCGCATTTGCCAGGAACCGAATACTTGAAAAGACACAAGAGAGTGTGTAGTTACCTCCACTGTTAGATCTGTACAGTCTTCGTAGTTCCAGACATGCCCCAAGTGGTACCAACAGGCACCAAAATCGGTGGCATCTGTTAGACTCTATACAGTATTGTATGACTAACAAATTCAAATGGATCGCAAGATAGTAGCAAGCAAACCGGATATTGTTATCCCGGATTTGGAGAAAAAATCGTGTCGTAGATGTGGCTGTGCCTTGCGACCAAAACGTCGTAATCAAGGAGGCAGAGAAACGTCTTAAATACAAGAGTTTGAAAACCGATATCAGCCAAATGTGGGGCGTTAAGTCAGAGGTCGTACCGGTAGTCATTGGATTTCTGGCATTTTTTCCGAAAAATGTGAGTAAGAACTTAGCTAAACTGCCAGGTCATTAAAAACTGGATAGTGTAAGGCATTGCTTATTTGGAACTGCTCCTCATATTGCGCAAAGCATTGTAGAGACTAAGACAGTCCCTAGATATGCTTCTTAGGTAGCTGGCTACAAGGTGGAGCAGCTTTTATATTCAGCTGAATGGTTTATTTCCAATAAAAAAATACACCGTGAATTTCATTTAGACAAAATTAAAACCATACCAATCTTCAAACTGATAAATTGTTTAAAACTTTACCTTCTGCTTCTCAACAATACGAATTAGTTTTAAACTACAAATCTTCCCGCATTAAATCACGTTTTCTGAAAGATATTTCCACCCCTTTAAATTTAAACAATAACAAACACATACCTATTCACATATTCCAAATGTCTTTAAATACATATATCTTATTTTCAACACATTATTTAATTTTTAAAAATTCAATATATTAAAAATCATAATTATTCAACAATAGGTAAAATGGCATCCCTTTTATGTAAATCGCTGACATCTTGCCAAAAAATTCTGTAATATATTTTATTTAATACCCTGAAAATTGTAAAGATTGAACAAGTAGAATTAAAAATTTGGAAAAAAATAGTTTCAAAACCTTCAGGTTCTCCAGTGTGTTGGTGAGCCGAAGAATTTTTTGTAAATGTTACACAGGCTTAATATAAAGTACCTCAAAATGTATTGTTTTTTCTCGCTTTTTTAATTTTTTCGTGCTTTTGGGAACACTATAATCACCTCTCACTTGCCTGGATTCTGCTCGATTTTTCGTAAATTTATGCATATATTAAAATTTAATTCTTTTATGACTCTCGCTATTCATTCTTTTTTCAAACATATCTGCCTCTCAATGTATATGAACAGCTATAACTATTGATTCATTTAATTTCTTTTGAAATGTTTTTTCTGAATTGAAGCCTTATTTTACGTAATGGGACTCAGGTTATGAGGCCTGCTCTTCCGTCTGACCAATCAAATTTCGTTACGCTCCTTTCACCAACTAGCGGAGAAGGAAGGTATTTCTTGGACGACGAAACAAGCGATTTGAATTTAGCTCAGAGGCTTCATTAAGGCTTGATCTTTTGCATGCAGTAAATATACAAACATGCGACAGCCAGCTTTACTTCCCCTCCGAAGAAAATTGAAGTAAAAAGAGCCTTAATTTTGTTATACGTCATTCAGATTTAAAGGCTTACTCTTCATAAAAAATATGTAGCCATATATACTGCAAACTGTCTTTCCTTACAGAGTAGATTTCACTCGTCAAATAATTTTCCTGATCCATTGAGCAAATGCTGACATGGCCCCTTGTTTTGCTTCTAGACGTAAGAGTAGAGGTAAGGGCGAGTTGCTATTTTGTTAGCAATGCAGAAAAATCATACTTACAATTCGTGTACCGATGCAAATACGATTTCTATAACTCAGAAATTAAAATGACTATTTTTGAAATATTGCTAATTTTGCGATTTTAAGACTATTTTAAAAATTTATTTTTACTTGTTTATGTTTAACTTTTACTCATCTTTCAACTACTTATAGATAAAATGACGGGAAGGGATTCTGGAACTCAAGAAAAACTGCGCAGATAATCTTTCCCCCTACGTCACATATAGTTTTTATTGTTTTTTTTTTTTTTGACTGAATAAATGTAAATCTAAATCTAAATTTAGGAAATCGTACACGATACGCTGCGTCAAGCCGTATAATGAAGAGAAATTGTTGAAAAATTAATGGTATAAAAATTTTAATATACTTATTATAAGTACGTTTTTACACACGCTTAAGATTGCTCTCCTGGTAAACACATTCTGCTTTTTATGTTACTCCGTGCTCGCCACGCGGGTCTATATTTAAGCCAGATGTATCTTTTGATCTGAGCAGAAGGGGCTGGCGGTAGCCACTGCAGGAAGGAGTCACGTGGCTTTAGTGCCGATCTAGAGAAGCTACCGTATTTTTATGCCTCGCAGTCAGCTGCTCTAATATCGTGACGTTCCCAGGTCATTGACAAAGGAAGAAGAACAGAAGCATCAATAAAATTGGTAAGGAAAAGATTAAAATAAGACTGCTTTAGGTGTGAAATGCAACTTCATTATCGTACAATGGATCTCCTTTCATTCCAATTGGAACATTCCTACAGTCGAATTTATTCCTCTCTTTGAGAAAACCTCAGACCACTAATTTGAAACGACTTGAAATATTTGAAACGAAAATCACTTCGAAACTCACTGATGTATCATGAAAGTTTTACTAGAATCCTAGAAGTATTTCGAAATTGAACTTGATAAGCTGCTGGGTGGAATCGGGTGTCATTGAATGGTGGGTATGAGATACTACTGCTATGATATTTTATTTTCCCATATATGGTGTAACACGTAGTACAATGAAAGTTATGTAATGCTGTGAAAAATCGAATTCGAGATTTCAACGGAAATGCACTTCTGGGAGTCCCCATATATCGAAAAAGTGTTGTTGTTTTTTCAAAACGTCCGTCTGTCTGTCTGTACGTCCGTCCGTCCGTCTGTCCGTCTGTCCGTCTGTCCGTCTGTCCGTCTGTCCGTCTGTCCGTCTGTCCGTCTGTCCGTCTGTCCGTCTGTCCGTCTGTCCGTCTGTCCGTCCGTCCGTCTGTCCGTTCGTCCGTCTGGTGTCTGTGAACACTACTACATCTAAACAATGCCTAGGATTTTTCCTAAGTTGAAGAATTCCCTGTCCATCTACTTTGTGATGAAACTCTGAAATTTTGATAAACATCATTCAAAATTTGGGGGTAGTTTACATGTAGCCCTCCGGACTTTTTCAAAATTTACTCAAAAACAGTTCTCAATTGTTTCTTTATGTTTCTTGTAAGAGGAGAGTAACATAGGCTTATAAACTTGGCATAGGTCCAATTTTCAGGTTAAACACTAAATTTTCGAAAATTTAAAACATTTCTCGGGCGTCTTCCTACAACTACAAAATTAATATAGATTTTTATTATTTAAATTAATATAGATTTAATAGAGATTTTTCCTTCAAATAAAATGTAGTCTCAACAGTAAGTTCTTTGAGTAAGGTCATGCACATTTTTTTAAAAATTGTACTAGTCTTCTCGCAATATTGCGTGCAGTATGAGCAACTTTAAAAAATTACAAAACCGGGTTTTTATCATAAAAAGTTTCCATATTTTTTCCCTCAACTTATGATTGGAATAGTGCTAAATGCACTCTAAATGGCATTAACGCTATATTGCTCTATCATTTTGTTTTTTCGAAAATTACTAAAAATGTAATATTTTTTGGCTTCTCTCTCGTCATTAGTCTCACAACATTATGGGCAATATGTTCATATTATTATAACTATGAGTACATATGCTTTAAATAACGCCAGAAAAATTTTCTCGAAAACAACCATTTTCTGTGAAAACTGGTTCAAATTTTACTGGTTCGTATTTTCAGACACGCTTAAGCGCCATTTTCTCAAAAACACTTCCAAATTTTTCCTTAAAACTTTTTGAAGGAATAGTGCTAATTCCAATCTTTAATATGACGTAAAGTTAATTTCAGGGTATTTTTCATTTTTTCAAAAATTATACTAATATAATGAATTTGAAAGATCTGTCGCGCCTTTAATTTGCACACTGCTAGCAATTTGAAAACACTATTGCATTAGTGACTAGAAGAGCTGGAAATACCCTCTTATGAAGTTCTTCGTAAACTCAATAGTTTTCTGTGAAAAGAGGTTCAAATATCACATTAACAGTGGCGCTTAAACGATACTTTCTTAAAAACAGCATTTTTTCTTAGAAAATTGCCATTTAAGGCGTGTTTTTACTGTTCTTTAATATTCTTAAAATAAAATTTCCCCCTATACTATTTAGAAACCGAAAAATTAAGAAAATAATAAAAATATTTTGGCGGAGATTGATGACAGTTGACAAGTTCGTGTAGCTAAACAAGACCAAAGGAAATATAAAACTAATACGGTAATGTCTGTGCTATTCTGTAGCATCACGAGTTTACTAAAGGAAATAATAATAACTAAATGGAACTAGTAAACAAGTGTTACTAGAAATTAATAATTTTCTCGTTAATATGAAAAATTCTGTATTTCTTCTTTAAAACAATTCAAAACGTTTGATTTTCCTTTTATATTCGAATTTATCAAATTGGTTTGTAATTGTTGCAGCCAATGTGTCAAGTGTGCCCAGTACGTTTAATGAAGTAGAAACAACTTTGATACTAAATTACAAATTTGTCCACATTTATTTTCATCGAAAAAGTTTTACACATTTAATAAATATGGAAATGGTGTAAGTCCTTTAGAGTGGAGTAAAAGCATTATCTTCATATTTTATGCTTATTCGTGACAATTACATCTTCCACCAATGTACATATTTTTAAATATCAACATCTCAGAAATTTGTTAAACTAAAATAGAATATATCAAAAGAGTTTGCTTTCGTGTAAATTGTCAACGTAAATCGTTGTAATCAACTTCTTATAATACTAATCTTTTATTTCTGATGTAATTTTATTGTTTAAGGTTATTATTCTTCATCAACTACATAACAGATATTACAGAATCTTCATTACGTTTTAAAAATTCATTGCCTTTATTTTTACATATTGTCTTTATTTCACTTTTATTCGTAATTCAATCGTGCAATTGCGCTGTATAAAACATTCAAAAATATGTTTGAATATGAATGCTTAAAATATATTAACTTTAGGTTTAATCGTGGAAAGTAATTCAAATGCGTGAACACAGAAGTAAACAATAAAAATCAACATTGAAACATATCATAAATATATTTTATTCAGCCCCATAGAAATGTAGATGGTTGGATGTTCACAATATGCGAACCAGCGGATGACGGTGGTGTGTGATGCGAGTGGACGAGACCGTGAAATCCAGAACAGAAGATGGAAAAAATTTACTCTCCGGTCATCACCTCCATGAACTCTGCAAGGAGCAAACATATTTTAATGCACATTATGCAAAACATTCGTTCAGTGAATATCAATATGAAATTATTGCCTCTGCAGCAAGTATAATCACGTTTCAAAAAATAAAAATACACATCCATTTTTGTATCCCGAAGAAATAATATGGGACCTCTAAAATCTCTATCTCGTCTATTTGTCTGTCTGCTCTGGAATTATGAATAAAAGCTCGCAATGCATCTATTTGGAAACATTTAATTCTAAGAGAAGGTATTTCTGTGAAAATAGAATATTTTCAGAGATAGGCAAACAAAAGGTTCCATTTACAATAGTTGTTGATAGTACTACAGTGATGCAAGTTGACAATGATCATGTACGTTAAGTTGAGAATGAAATAAAATTGAAAATAATTTTTTCAAGACTTACTGATCACATATTTCATGATTACATATTTCATTGGATCATGGATTCTTAGGAACCATTGTATTTCGCATTTATCCACTTTTTGCACTGTTCAACAACAAAATGTTATACTCACCATCGAAGTCAACGGTTCCAGAACCGTCAGTATCAATTTCCTCAATCATCATGTCCAATTCTTCGTTTGTCAGCTTATCATCGAGTTCCTTCAGAATTTCACGTAGAACACTGGTGGTAATGTAGCCGTTGCCTGGGGGAATAAAATTGAATTACAAAATTTTTATGTCGTGGTCATAATTCTTCATTACCTATAAAAATATTTTACCAATGCAATTCCAATTAGTATATTAGTACAGATATATATTTCGTTCGACTTCTCTAATATTTCGACATATTGAAGTAAATTAACGAATTCCGAATGAGTAACGAGATGAAGAATGAATAAAATTTGAGTTAACTAAGAATTATATTTATAAAAATTCTTCTGAAGGTACTCAGGAGCAGCAGACACTATAGATGTACATGGTTGTGTAGAGATAACGTTTAGATGAGTAGAGATGACATTGCGGGTAAGTGATCACCAGGTTTAAGTAGCCTCTTTTAATTTATAATAACTAATAATTGTCTATCATGTGAACTTCATATTAATAGTGTAAACGTGTCAGCAGATAAGTACTTCAGTGGCGTAGTTGGGATTATTTAACACAATACTGATACTTATAACTGCAAAAGTTACTACCGACATGAAAAGTAAAAATTAACTCTCTTGAAATATTTGTTTTATGTTCCAACTTTTTATGCCATTACTAATTTTCAGTAAGAGAAAATAAATATTGAAGGTTTCAGAACATAATAATGTCAATCATACCTCACTCTCGTTTTTATTTTCAAATTTAGAAAGAATCGAAAATGATACGCCCGATTGGGGCAAAACAGTAACAAAGGAAGCGAAGTAATATCGTCATCGTGAATTCCGTCTTTGTATCCCACGAAAATGAATATTAAAACCCCTGGAACGTTGTAAATTTTATGAAATTAATTTTGGCCGTAAAATATCAACCAAAAATCTTCAAAGACGAAAAGGGCATTTTACGCAGAGTAAAAGTGAACACATTACGAAAAGAAAATCTGCTTTTGAGAAAATTTATCTTTACCAATAGAATAATACTAATTGATCATTTCATTATATCACAGGACAACGGTTAAAAACAACCTAATTAAAGTCTTTTTTGTGTACAACAAAAAAGTAAATAAGCACAATTATATCTATTGGTTTGCACAATAAATTGTATTATTTCTATTTATCAAACATATTTAATTTTTTATTTTAAAATTTTATCAGAAGTTCAAAGATGGTTTAATCTAATAAATTCGATATTTCTTTAGATATTGAAGATCAATTTTTAGAAGTCGGTTTAGATTTTTATTGAAATAAAAAGAGATGTGTTCATGTGATTAGTTTCATAATGATGCCAAAGAATTATTCTATAGATTGATATAAGTTACTTAATTAAAATCCTTTATTTCCATGATGAAAATTGCAGTAGAAAAAATGATAAATACTTATACTCGGTTATCTTTGTAATATTTTTCTAGTGTGTTTCTAATTCAAATTGCAAAATTGAAACCCACCTTCCTTGTCATATAAGCGGAAAGCTTCCTTCAACTCCTTTTCCAGAGCTTCAGAATCTTCTTCAATCAGGAACCTTGCAGATAGTGTTACGAATTCTTCAAACTCCAACTGGCCGGAACCTGAACAGAGAAAAATTTACTCAGGATAACATTCAACATGTATTGAAACGAAAGTATTTTGTATTGAGTAGAAATGTATATGTATACACATACGAGTACATGTCTCATGTCTCAATGATCAATTAGTATATGTGTGTGTGTGTGTGTGTGCGTGGTGTGTGTGTGTGTGTGTGCGTGCGTGTGTGCGTGCGTGCGTGCGCGCGCGCGCGCGCATGCGTGTGTGTGTGTGTGTGTGTAAGTAATTTTGAAAATAAGTTTCTCTAACTTGTAAATGACCGGGGAAATAGTTCGATATGATACGAGAGGTACATTGCATTTTATGTTGTTAGAGAATAGATTGCGTCACAAGGTCGATAGTTCAAGTCAAAATAAAATCACTATTACCACGTACGACATACGCTGTTTTTAAGACAGCCTTACTGACTTCCATTTTAATTTAAAGTGTACAATTCACTCAATTTGGTACTATGTTAATTGAGGTCAGTAGTAGCTAATGTCAGAAGAATGCATTTTGTTTTCTTTGTTACATTCAGAGTTTTATCTGAACATTTGTGCATCCTCTCTTCCTAAGCATGTTGTGCATGTCCTAAAAAATAACCTCTTTTACTAGAGGCGGTGTCACAATTGAGTTATAAGTGATTATTTATTTCAGTATCATGCAGTTACGTTTCTTGAGTGAATAAAAAAGTGGTTTAAAGCATAATGACATTGCACAATATAGGAATAGTGAATAGAACAAGAATACGACGTTAAAGTTCAATGCGATTTCTGAAATTCGTGAAACATCCTAATACTTACAAAACCTCTTCTCCCCTTGACCATTTATTTGTTCGTCCATCAGAATACTGAGCCCTATCTGTTTCCTTTCGCAGTACTTAAACTACCTACAATCTTCAAATTGATCTCACCATTGAAGGTAATTCAGTGTACATTTTCGTTCACTTAAGAATCTTACTGGCTTTTGTGAATAAGAAATTAGAGAACGTTTCAATCTGAGAAACAAAATTATTCTGAACTGTATAGAAGTGTTAGGAAATAGTACCGTCTTCGTCGACTTCATCAATGATGACTTTCAGGGTGGCATCGTCCACTGGAATTTCCAGCATCCTCAGGATGTCTTTCACCATCTCTGTGCTGATGCAGCCCTTCTTTTCTCTGTCGAAGGCATCAAATGCCTTTTTCAACACTGCAATAAGAAAATCGGGGGAATTACAAATAAATAAAATAATCTTAAACTGCAATAACAGAAAAATCTTTCAATTTTTTGTTTTAAAAAATATGGAAAATTTTTAACTTAAAATATCGTTATAAAAACATTTTAACTGAATTACAATAATTAGAAAATATCAAAAGCAAATAATAACCTGGCACTTTTTAGATGATTCGACGGACGAATATTTAAAACAGCGAAAATTAATTTTAATAATATTTTAATTATAGATATGTTGCACCTCATGCCTGTACATTTAAATAAATATTCAATAACAGTATTTTGAATTATATGATTTCCTTTTAAGCGTGAATTTAGTGCATAAACCACATAATTATACAATTATTACGATAAAACGTTTTAACTTCAATGATGAGATTTAGTTTATTTATTGAAGAACGTAAATGAAATATTCACTTACTGGCAATCTGTTCTGGAGGAATGTCGTCCTGTAAAAAATAGAAATTATGATTTTAGACAATTATTATTACTAAAATAGTCTTTCAATACATACTGATGAAACTATTCCGGCAAATAAACCCGACATTCTACTACATATCGTACAGGAAAAGAAAGATTTATCATTGATGTTACATACTCTGCAGATCATAACGTCATTAAAGAAGAAAAAGAAAATTATTCAAAATTCCCCTCTTCAAAATTATATTCCCCTCTCAATAAAATATAAAGAAATTTACAAACCTGATTCAAAACTATTCAGATTATAGCAATAACAGTAAATAGTCGTGTTAATAAACATCTAAAGTATTGTTTGTCAAAATTAGATCTTACTTATCGGAAATTATTTCTAATTCTCATTCTTGAAAGCGGAACGCCCCCTAAAGCTGTATGCGTGAAGTAGAAAATTAACCAATTTTATGGAATTCACGCACCCCACGAACACTCAAGCGGGACATGTCACAGTCATTCTCTTTTCGGATAAAACATGTGATTCTGTAATCATATCTGAACAAGAATGATCAGTTTCACGTAAAGAGAGCTTGTAATGAATCATATTGGCCCTAAAAGCAGGAATGGCAAAGGCCTTAAAGTTTAGAGATTTTATTGTTACTCAAAAATGTCCGTTCTCGGGATATGGAATCACATCTACTCCATCAGTCAAAGTCTATGTGATTTTCACAATCTCATATCCGTATAAAACTACGATAAGATAGAAAGCATTTATGATCAGATAAGATGAATCGTAGTCCACGACCTTTCTAGGTAGCCAATCTAGAAAGTGATTCAATTAGTTGCATACGTTCACTACTCCAAAATATATTGCAAATTTCGTATATCGTGCGGCGCATGTTACCATATACTGTATATGTATCAACTCTTCTTCTTAGTATAAAGATTTCAAATCATGCCATGGTGTGTCACGCATTGTCCGAACTACAAATATCACTGTTGTTAATCTACAAATTATTCACATCATGATTTGAATTTTTATCTCACTTAAAGGTTTTTATTTGATTTACGTAAGTATTTTCGTATGTGGCAAAAGTTTTTGAAGGAAATATAAAATTTGGTATGAACAATGCCAAAGGATGCGGATATTAGCAATGAATGCGTAATGACAATATTTAATAAAACGTGTTGAGATAATTACTGTAAATACATTTTTTTAAACCTAGCGGAACATGAAAATGTTCTTTAAAACATACTCATTGATGTTACCTACTCGTTTTCAATCGGAACAATTTCATTAATATTAATATTTTAACTTATATAGAAATTATTGGAAATAAAAGAATCAACTTGATTTAATACTTGTTTACATTTTTTATAAATTTTACATTATTTACCTAGTACAACTCCTTTGTCTCTTTGAAACTAAAAAACTGTCTATTCATATAGCATGTAAATTCATATTGACTGTAAATTAAACAACGATGGAGAAATTAAAGAAAGAAATATTTTGTTTAATTGTATACATTAAAATAGAAATTTAATTCACTTCTTTAAAAATGTAGTGATTGCAAACTTTTCTGTGCAAACTTTTCTTGCACGTTTCTGTGCAAGTGCCTTCGTCAATAATTCAGGTCTTTTAAAACTCTCTTTCAGTCATTAACGCTTCAGTCAACATATTTACATTCAAAAATATTAAAGTAATACGAAATTATAACTGATTGATCAAATCCAATACATATTTATCCAATGCACTACGACTTTATTCAATCCAACTATCAATTCAAAAATATTTTTCTAGTATGCTTTCAAATCTCAACAGTGGACAGCATCAGGAAAACACCCCGCGCTCAGAAATAGAGGTGAGGAAACAAACTGAGAAATCCGAGGGCGGCGCGGGCTTTGTGTGCTGGAGCAACATTTTGACGTCGCGTGTCACCATGTCCACCTCCACCCCCTCCAGGGAATCGGGCTGAGCCGCGGCGGCGGCGGCGCTGAGCCAAGCGGTTGCGGGGGCGGCGGCGGCGGGGGCGGCGGCGGGAGACTGACTGTCTCTGTCAGCGCCCGCCTCCACTCCCGGGCAACCGACCGCCCCGCCGTCGCCAGCAACGCTGCGCCCCACAGAACATAGGAGGCTGAAATGAGGGTAGCAGGGACGGCTGCCGGCTGTTTTTTTTGCTTGCCATTATTATTATTATTATTATTATTATTATTATTATTATTATTATTATTATTATTATTATTATGCTAAGCGTTAAACATGCGGATTAATAAAATACCTATTGCATACGTACGTATTCACGATGAACTATAAACACCGTGTTTAGCCAAACCATAAGTTCCTGCGCTTTTTACGTCAAAAACAGATCCTTCTGAACGTGACTAGTTTCGTTCGCGTATGTACCACTGGTCTTTTCCGTAATTAAATGAAATAGAATCTCATCTTCACACATCTGTAAAATTATAAATTAATTTTTGTACACTTTCCCCTAAATTTGTCTTTAACCGTCTAACATTTTATAGATACAGCTCATTGAACTATAGATAAATAGTACGAAGTACAAAGATAAATATAATGCGCGTAGAATGTGTTGTATTGTACGGCATATTTCATGCGTGTGCTATCTATTTTTGTTTTTTTGCTGTCAATCAAAAAGTAATCGCATACTGTGGAATCTGTATAGTAAATATGAGTCTTTCTTGAGTGATGATATTCGTAATAACTATGATATTTGCATTGAAAAATGCACTCGCGTTTTCGGCGTGTGGGGTCATTTTGTGTTGTGAATTGAAGTGTGTTTTCAGGCAAAAGGTACGGGTATGGGGACTAAAAAATTAGGGAAATCACTAAAGTTTTTACAAGAGTCATTGTATTATCTGCAAATAGAAGAGAAGACGTTGGTGCACGTCAGGACAATGAGTAGCACTCAAACGGATACTGCTCGAGGAAAATTGCACTCCCATCCACGATTTCGACAAGACTAAAGTGACAAATATCTTTATTGGCACATTGTGCATACTGAGACGAAACTCCATCGAGAGAAAATTTTTAGTGCAGCGGGTGAAACGAATCTAACCACATTAACTGGTCCAGGAAGTGTTAATTCCAAGCAACGCTATTGAAATTACAGATCACGATTTCAGTGATAACTTCGAAATCCGGTATCTAACACAAAAGTCACCCTTCAAAGGCCGTACGTATTCAATGGTGATCGAGGCACGTGACGAGACGCGATTGGCCCAGTGGCGAGAAGGATAAGGAGGCACAAGAGTCTATAAGGAAGCCCTAGGCTTCAGCGGCCACAGTCTTTGGCTGTCCGGGTTACGCCTCCTCGAAGACTCTGAACTCTCACATGTTTAGAAAGAGATCACACGGAATTTCGAGTCGATCTGTGAGAGAATCCGACTCTGAATTTTGACTGAATCTGAGAGTCATGCTTTCGTGATGGCCACCCGACTAGAATTGTTTTCGATCATTTTCAGTAATGTAATGCTCGTCATTCCGTCCGAGTCGTGATACTCGTATGAATGCTTAAAAGACTAGAAACATGTCCCACCTATTTGTTAAACTGATTGAACACCAACATAACCGAGACGGGGGGATGGCAGTGGAACTATCGAAAGAAATAACGCATCAGTACAACCTAAGAACTATTAGTTGCTATTAAAACCGCCCTTAAATGAATGGAAGCGTTGAAATTGAATCAGTCTCCTGCGAGCGAAGTTCAGAAACTGCAGTGCGTGCTTCTAGGTTCAGAATTCTATAGTGTATTCCCGAGTCGGCTTCATACCTTGAAAATCATCGGTTAATCTCGTCTCAAAATACTTCTTGGTATCTATACATTAATACTAATCTTCTTGATATCATCCTGCATCTTCAATCTTTTGTGAAGACTTTTTTGTTTCCTACTAATATCCTCGTACAAAATGTGCCCTGTGTTTTCACTTTTTTAAATGAAGTTTATTAAAGTTTTCAGTAAGTTTGAATCGCTTTAATCTTGATATTCTTATTTCCCGTTTAGTAAATCGTTCATTCCATGGCTTTTATCCGTCTCCTAATTCCGCATTTTTAAATGTTTCTGATCTCTTCCGATCTTTCACGAAAGGTTTGGGTCTAGTGACATTCTTTATTTTTATTTCTTTAAGTATATTGAATTAGTCAATTAAGTTTACTACGAAAGGAAATCGTGAATCATTTAAAATTCATTTGAAAAAGGAACTTATATTAAAATTAAAATACTTCATTCTATGTTTATTGTCTTGTCTGAGAACACCTTTAGATTCTCAGTGCTGGCTCGGTGCAAAGGATAAGCAGAGAATACAATGAGTGCAATTACAAGCAATGAAAAGTCTCAAAATACTTTTCCTTTGAACGATCAATCACGACCGGAGTCTTGCGCCGTATTTAAGGTAAAGAAATAAGAAAAATTACCTTATATTTGTCAATTTCTTTTCTCTAGTCACCAAATTTTGATATATTTAAATTAAACTTCGTGTGAAAGCAAATAAGATGACCTAAGTGTAAATAAGAACAGTTTTAATTATGATCTGTACTTAGTTTATATTTCAAGTTAGTCTTGGAAATTCATGAAGTGCCGTACAAAAATTATTGTACTCATACAAATTCAAAATCTACCTAAATTATGATAACATCCATTCTTTAACTTAATATCACTCCTTAGAATTTATTTTACGTTCTAACATAAAATGTTTTTACATGTGGTGACAAATTTGGTCACTTGCCAAGTGTTAAAATCAGTTATTTAAATTAACGAGTTCTCAAATTTGAAAAAAAGGCTACAGGGATCACGCTAGCTCATAAAGAGCAGCTGTATTTATCAGGATCTATCTTCCTCATAGCATTTACTAGCTCTTTAGACGCCGCTGCACAGGGCCTTCATAAGCGAGAAATAATGTGCAGGAAACACGATTCAGATAACAGATAAATGATTCCTTACTTAAATGTAGTACACAGAGAGTTCTCCTCCTCCTCCTTGAATTCATTCTTCTTCTTCTTCTTCTTCTTCTTCTCGTTTTCGTTCTTTTTATGGTTCTATTTTTCTTCTATACGTATATTTTCTTCTTCTCTTAATATTTATTTCGTAATCACCTCCTATTTTCCTTCTCTTCTTCCTCCTCTCCAGCAAATGTGGCTCAGGGCCTCAACTGATGGCCTTGCAGGCCGTGAGGTCCTTGAGGAATAAATCCCGACAGTGACAGGATTTTGATACTAGCTAGAGAGCTACGTCGAATTACGCTTCTGTTTGGAGGAAAATATAAGTGGTCGGATCGATAGTTTTCCGTGCTTTTTCCAATCAACACCAAGCAAATGCCAGAGCAATTCTCTAACAAACGGGCCACGGACCGCGCGAGATCTTTTCTTCTTATTCCTTGTTTTATCCTCTCCCCTTAATTACACAGATACACACACACACACACACTCACGTGTACTACACTATCACATATGCCGGGAAACCAGTCGGGAGCTTAGAGCTAGTCCCTTCTGGGGTGTTGCCACGCCGATGGCAGCTATCTGGTTGGGGAAAACCGCGAAAGCTGACATGTAGATAGGCGCCGGTTCTGCCATCCAGCGGGAGATCTCCGCCAACGCTCGCGTTAAAAAATGCTATAGACTTTCGGTCCGAGACTTTCGGTCCGAGACTTTCGGTCCGAGACTTTCGGTCCGAGACTTTCGGTCCGAGACTGTCGGACCGAGACTGTCGGACCGAGACTGTCGGACCGAGACTGTCGGACCGAGACTGTCGGACCGAGGCTTTCGGTCCGAGACTGTCGGACCGAGGCTTTCGGTCCGAGACTTGTGGCTAATGACGTTAGGAGATGCCGCCCACGAAATCACAAATCAATCAATACTCGTCCTCTTCCTCCATCTCATCTACACCAGCTAATATTAATGAAGCATGACAATTGAAGAGAAACGCAAATTTATGAAACGGATAAACGTCAATCTGGTTGACAAATAAAACAGACATGTGACCGGTTATACGGTGCTGTGCTTATATTATTAACTGGCTAGCTATCGTAGCCTTGCTATTTCAGGGACATGAGCTGGAGTTAGAAACATTTATGTTACGCGTGTTTCCAAATACGAACATACACCGAATTTCGGTAGGTTTAGAGAATTCAGTCATTGCGCTACAGCGGTTCATCGTCATGCTAGTTAGCTAGAAGTTGCCGGTGTCGCTAATAGGTATCGAAGCAAAGGCTGCCAGAGTCACAAATGAAATACAGCCAATCTACAAGATGTGAGTTGTCAGCTACTTGAGAAGTATTTAGGGCAAAGAGCGGGGGCCAATTTGCAAATATTTCTCTCTTCTATATTCGTATATCTTATGTGTAGTAAAACAATTAGAGAACAATTACAAAGTGTAATATTGGCTGACGTGATACGGAAAATGAACACTTATGTTATGAATACAGATTCTAAAATCCCTTATCTAGAATTTATATTTTAGATTTGTATGTTATAAATATGAGATCGTGACTAGCTCTTGTTCAGCGTCCTCGCTTTCAACTACGTGGTCCCGCTTTCGATTCCCGGTCGACCCAAGACTATAGTGTGCATTTTCCTTGTAATGTCCCAGTATATGTTGCTGTGTGACAATGAGAAAATTCACTTTTCAGCTTGAGAAGACCGGAATGCGGCGTCAGGATGTCTACGTGCTAACCACACGTACCCCTTTAACCCATGGCCGCGAGGCTGGAACGTCGTCGGTAGGCCGGAGCCTGTTCACGTGCCAAGTGCATACTTACATGTTATAAGTATGTATTGAAATGTTTATCCCTTAGAATTTGCTCAAATATTTATCCCTTTAAATATGTTAGAGAGTCTACACCAAAGACATTCACTGCTATCTAGGCTTTAAGATTACAATTAAGGTTTTGAAATTATATTATTCACTGATGGTAGTTTCAATACGTTTTCTCTCTTAGTACATTAATTTCCGAAAAACGGACAACGAAAACAGATCCAAAGTTAAATGTGGAAGCAAATGGAGGCAAACGAACCGCAGTGTCGCGGACGCGCTGTTCGACCTACACACGAAGGCTGAGCGCCCGCGGGCGAAACGGAACCGCTGACGCTGCCGGCGCCACGGAGAGCGTGCGGGGAGCGGAATCAGGGCATTCGCTGCAGCACGTGCGCGCCGTCTCCTTCACCATCCCCACCGACGCCTACGTTCCCTTCCACTCCCACAACTACGTCCTCACGTATCCCCAGTCCAAACCTACTCTCTCGTCCACGCCCAAGCTCACAAATACTTGCATAATACTTAGACCCACTCTCACACCCCTTCCACTATCCCCTTCCCACGCACAGACCCATTTCCAGGCCTACATCCTCTCATACTCCATTTCACATCCTCGCACCTCCACACCTACACTCATTTCCATCCTTAGGCTCACTCCCACCACTTCACAATCTCCTAACACGCATGCGTTCTCACATATTCTCAAGCCCACGCCTACTCTCACGCTCACAACTACTTCTACTTGCACGCCCACACCCGTCCCACACCCTTCCTGATCGCTTCCTCTCAACATTATAGCAAGCTTGCTCATGCTCTCGCAATCACCCCCTCTCCTTCCCTCCCGTAACCAAGCATCTGTCCCTGCCATCGTGCGCTCCAACTTACTGTTCGTCCTTCCTTTGTTCTCACTTTCTTTGACGTCTACGCAGTCATCACCGACGCCAACATTCCTACTCATCCTTGAAATACCATCTCCTTGTCTATCTCCGCAGTCCCGCCGAAGCTGCAACCCCATAATTCAAACGCCACTCTCTTCTCACTTCCATCACTCCCACTAACTACCCCACATACCTTCCATTTGCGTCTCTCTATCTTCCTCCACTGCTTCTCTCTATCCACCACTAGGTCGTTTCCTACCCCACGCCACTGCTACCACTTCCACGAGCTATTTCCTTTGCACCGGCTGCATTTGCTCACGCCGCCGCTTCCGCCTCCGCTGCCTCCGCCCATGCGCCGGTCGCGGCGGCCACCTCTTCGCACACGTTCCTGCCCTCTGACCCGCCAGCGAGTGTATTTTTGACAAAGGGCCAAAGCAAACGGTGTAATGCATCATGTGTGGAATGCGATGAATAACGGGGTGGACATTCAACAGCTTATGATCTTTAATTGTGTTACGTTTCCTCCCCCCCCACCCAAAATGCCAATTTGGTACGACCAATTTCATCTGCTTTGCTTGCACATTGCCAAGTCAAAGGTGACGCACTGGCCGTCGGCCAGCCCAACTATTTTTATAAAATCTTTGTGTCCAGTCAGTACAAAATTTCCAACGCATTATACACCAAAATACAGATTATTTTATTGAGTCTCTTCCCTCGCGTAGTTACAAGTGAAGTAGTTCTAATTAGTAATTAAATAAGCGTATTACATATATGTTCCCTTATCTCGTGTGCTTCAGCCGTTCGTGAAAAAATGCTAGTACCACATCAAGACCGTCAATAAATCAATCAATCAATCAATGCTGTCTTATCTTTCGTGTCGAATCTCAGGTCGTCAGGCACTCTCTTTCGCCTGACCACGCAAAATTCGCTACGTTCCTTTCGCCATTCAGTAAGAAAGAAAGTTCCACTCGAGCAACAAAACAGATCACTTGAATTTAGCACGGAGGCTTCTTTTAGGCTTGAGCATCTTTCACAAGTAGTAAATCTACAACAAGGGACTTCGGGCTTTACTTTCCCTCCGAAGGATGGCGTAAAAAGTTTTTTTTTCGTCCTTCGGCTTCGATGGAGGTTTGAACTGCGTACTTGGATGTCACAAGCCGATAGGCTAACTGCTACACCGACCCTCCCCCCGTTCACCATCCCCAGCCTCTTTCTCCAGGATCCACGTCCTCTCCAGCGAGTCGCCACCGCCTCCACTTGCGGCCCCGCCCCCTTGACCCGCCTTCTGCCTCCCACGCGCGGCGCGTAAGTGGCCTCAGGCAGTGGCGCGGAGGGGCCGGCGGCGCTATTCCTGGCACGCTCATCGCCCGCTCGCCCGCCCGCACCGCCGCCCACGCAGTCCGCGTGGGCGCGGCCGCGCACTTTGTTGTCTTGTTGCCCAATCACCGAGCCATTGGTTTATCGCTTCGCTGTAGGAATTAGAGGAGGGGATTGGGAGGCGGGAGTTGATGCTGGGAGTCTATTTTGGAGGTCGATGGGGATCCGATGTCATCGTGATGTCTGACGCATGTTTTGTCGCGCGTTCCAGACAAAATACTGTGTTGAATCTCAAGCTGTTGTTTTAATTGTGCTCTTTCAAATGCGGATCGTTTTTCGAGAAAACATTTTTTTAATAGCGCCAAATATTTATAATATATTTTCTAAAATGTGCTAACAAAAATTTAATTTGAGTATTCCTTAGCGTGATATGAGATGTTGATCTGTCTTTTGCTTAAGTAGAAAGAATGGTGTAATGTTTTTCAGAATAATAAGAAAAATGACTCGGTCTTCGTGCTGAAAGAACACATGTCATATACGCAAACTTCGTTATACGAATTCTATCGATGCTATATGAAATATTCTACTTTTAGCAACTCTTCACTAATACATAAAGAGCAATAAAATGATAACTTTTGTAAACCAAGTATAATTTTAACTTGCTTTCATCTTATTTTGTTGGTTTGTTTTCTTTCTATCAGTTAGCATTGATCACATTCCTTACTAAATAAGAGGGCGAGAATTTTAATTAAAATATTTATTTATTAGTATTAATAAAATTTTTGAACATGAAAAACAGTAACTGAAGTATGCATAGTCTGAATACTGAACTATTACCACAAGAATTGCATATTGTTATTGCGTAGACGTTCTGTAGCCCCTATCAGAGAAATGCTCTGGGTAAGTTATTGCTGTTCTGTTGCAACGTTTCACAACGTAGGGTATAATCATTTTCCTTTCATAATATAATTTTCCTTTCATATTATCATTCATATAATATATTTTTCATCATATATCATTTCCGCTTAGATCTAGAAGTGATTCTGTGTTTATTTTTATATGAATGGGTGAAAACCAGAATGGCATAAGTGACATTTTATAAATTCAGAGAAATCAATTTATTAAAGTAAATATTACTATAAAGTCGTGGTGCTTTGTTTCATCATTAAAACCACGACATTTCAATTGTTTAAAACCACGAAAATACATTGCCACTGAAATATAGCCTAAAATAAAAAAAATTTATAAAATGTCACTTATACCGTTCTGGTATTAACCCATTCATATGAACTTCATAGACAGTCTTCCCTTTGCACTTCAAGAATCATGTGTTTCTGATGATACCTACACTTCTAATGTTTTGAAATGATCATTTGTACAATATCCATCAATTTCTAAGATCAATCACTTGTATTTCACTTCAAAGCTCTCAAGTTCCCGTTTCCTATTTGTAAAGACAAACGCTCTATATCCAGTGTCCGTAAGCAGACTCGCCTACAATTCTTAACAAATTACAAATTACATACTTTACTAATTGTATTAATTACATATGGTAATAAAAATTAACATATTTTTCGGGTTATATTCCATTCATTTTAATAATGAGTTACTATACTTTGTCATGTTTTATCGCTACTATTTGTGATTAAACGAAGGTATGTCAGACTTCGTTTCCCATTGTGTGGTAAGTAACGTAATTGGAGTTTGAATGATGATGCCAATTTCGCGCTCCATGTGTTTAAGAATGTCTTGCTCATCAGAACACGCTGGCCGTGTAAATAGCCTTAACGATTTAACTCGCTCTGGACTAATTGCTTTTTACTTCATTACATGCTAATTTCCCAGGGTATGCCGTCAATATTGCTTTTCTTTCTTTTGCAAGTACAATATTTTGATGCCAATTCCCTCAACAATAAATTTCTTGTTTTTATTCAAATGAATTTATTGAAATGCATTCATTAGCCAGTCTTATATTTTTCCTATTTTAAAATGTTTGAAATGCTCACCGGTCATTAGTTGCTTTCGCTCTAAAATGTCTCTATTAAATTTATTTCGTAAAGGAATCTCTATACGGTGCCGATATGATTACCATGAATTTCATTCTTTCAGCAACCTAGCGACACTTGCCCTAGGCTATCCCTTTTTCCAATTTTTAAATTTGGAACACGCCCAATTAAATTCTCACCAAACTTGGTAGCAGAGAAACAATAATGATAAAACGTCATATATTTAATTTCCAATATCCCAATATACTTTAATCATCAGAAAATTGAAAACAACCACAACTCACATCTCACCAACAACTCACATCTGAACAGGCTCTAGGAGACAATTTCAAACTGTACTATTAGAGTATTCGAAACGTATTCACTGGATTATTGCACTATTTATTCCAAACAGGTTCAGTAGCAATAGTAGGTTGGTGCGGCGTAGTTTGCGAACGGAACTCGTGGCTGGAAGTCAAAATAACACGTATAGCCGTAATCCTGGAGCACCCCACTCAGTCAGTGACCGTCCAGACGTTGGCACTGGTTGAGCGGCGCGGGCTTTGAGGCTTGCGTGTTGTTTCCTTTGGCCCTCCGACGTTGCCCACGGCAACGACAGCCTGCTAAGAAGAGATGTCGCTTCATTCTGAATCGAGCTGACAGCCGGTCCTCTGGACAGCTAAACCACTCTCTAAATTAATGAATTTTACTTTCTCGATTTTGTTTTAAACTGAAATTTTATACTCAACATTTTTGAAAACAACGTTTTTTATTGATGTAATGTATTTTGTATATATATGATGTGGCTATCTTTGCTGCACAGTCGCCCCATCGAAAATCAATCATATTTATTATCGGATTGACTTCAGTAAAGGGAATATTCAGTTTATTAAAATAAAATCTGTTATTTCATTTAGTTGCCAAAAAACCTATTTATATTGTTCTTCAGTTGTTCACAATCTCCACTTTTAACAAATGGAGTGTTTTTACGTCTAAGTATAGTAAAAATATTCAACATTTAAAAATAGATTAAAATGCGCAACGATATCCTTAAAATTGAAAATATATTAATGCGTAACTCCTAGTAGCACTTCTGACCTATTGTGTAATGTGTGACAATCAATATTGCTCTTTAGTGACTTTGTTTCAATGATCTAAAACAAATCACATTGGCATAGGTACTTCAATATCACTCGCAGAACATTCCTTCAAATTGATTTGAATTCCTTCCGTGTGTGTCTAAGGTATGAAGAAAAATATTATTCTACCTGTTTGAAGGAACATCAACACACAGCAGTAAGATATGCACATTTTAGCAACATAAACTTTGGGATGTGTTTGACGTGGTAAAAAAGCGAGTAATTTCTAAAAGTAATAACTATTAATTTCCTTCCCTTTAGTAAAATCTTGCTCAATAATAACGACACACTGTGGGTTCAAAATGTCACAAATTGAGCGATATAAATATATTTATATATTCAGACCAAAACGTAAAGCAACAATCATAAATAAAGTTATATAAATAAAGTCGATTTTGTTATCTAGTAAAAACACGCGGAGTACCTCACGATCGCACAATAGATTAGTTCACACACGCATCGGAAGGTCACTTTTAGAAGGCGCTAAAATAATTCTATAAATTCATGGGAAAATATTACCATATTCTAACTACATATTGCCCCATTCATTATTACTTTGTTCATTTTTTGTAAATATTATTACAATGTCATTCACTGTGAAGTAAATTTTCTCGTTGCACTAACACATGTAGATTCGCCTCAAATTGAATGCTTGTGCTATTAATGATCCTTCGGTATCTAATTCCTGTACATTTTATGGCATACGAACAGAACTATTTCTTTAAAAGTAATTTTGAAAGATCTCACAACTGCATTGCCTGTGTTCGCAGTATCACTGCAATGTCATTGCAGGCGATCACTATGACACTACACGTATGCATGAATTAAATTCTAAGTTTTACCACACAATATTCCAATCCTCCAGTACTTCAATGCATTATATCGTTTTCTTCGAAGATTACTCCAATTGTCTTCCAAACACGTCATTACACGAAATATAACAAAACAAACGAATTTATTATTTATGCGTTTCGTTTTTCATTTTCGAGGTTATTGTGATGTATAAAGCAAAATGTAAAATTATATATTTTAAGACGAGTTCCAGGACTTGCTGAAACAACGAAAGTCTCCGAAATGCTAACGAATTATAAAAAAAGTACGTTTGTGTACCTAACGTGTTTTCCTTTAATTCTACATGTCACATTGTTTCACATATTTTTGTTCCTAAGTGACTGCAATGTAGACTTTCTAACGAACTTAATAATTTTGCGAAATATAAACGATAACAATTTACCCGAACACAAATTCCAGTGCTGTTTCACAGTGGCGATGTCTCGCGAAATAGAATAAAGCAAATCTTTTTATTATTTATACTTTTCGTATCGTATTTTCGAGGATCTTCTGATAAACAAATCGAAATGCAAAATTATGTACATTTTCAGACGAGTACAACTTTCCGAAATGCCAACTAATTTTGCCACAAGAATATCTAACCACCTACAAAACTGTATTTCCTTTAATTGTATATGTCACATTGCTTCACATATTTTTGTTCCTAGATGACTGCGACGTCGTCGTTCTAACAAACTGAATTGTTTTGCGAAATGAAAACGATAACAATTTATCCGAACACGAATTCCAGTGCTGTTCCACAGAGGCGGCGCCGCGCGCTGGCCCAGCAGAGGCGAAGCGAGGCGGGGCGAGGCACAGCATCCAGCGCGAGGCCAAGCGACGCGAGGCGGCGGGAGCTACCTACCGACATGGCTGCTGCTGGGGCGTGAGCGGCGCGGATGCGATGTGGGTGGACTCAGAGGCCGGTCTCTGCACACTGCACGAGCAGGCCCCACCCGCGCACACTTCTACGTCTCCGCCCACAAGTCGAGCGTGTCCAAAAAGACGAACGCGCGCGCCCGAACGTTTAACTCTACAGTACATTAAAATCCGCTCCTTCACCCACCCTAGAAATGAAAGAGGCTACATGGGACGTGGTGCTGTTATTGCTGTCCGCTAAACTATTTTAAGAAAACCCATTTACTTCTTCGCCTTCACCTTGAGAAATTCGGTCAGACTGTCGTGATCGGGGTGTGGGAGGTGTCTCGTCAACGAGGAAACGAGAGTGGAGGAGAGCTTTCCCGACTTGTTTTCTCGCGAAGCCCCCACTTACGCAAGAATTGCAATTGCTTACAGTATTAAGATGAAACTCACGTTCTCCCTTTTAACAGTGATTTACCATACCCCTTAGTGATACGTTGTCGATCATAACGTCGGACAGATCTTCTTTTTTTTTAACTTTGCGAGGATAGTAAGGTGGGCGTTGCCACTCCAGTTGTGGCAGCTGTATTTTCAGAACTCTTTTATGTAAGGAAACAGATGTCGTTGCGTTAAACGAGCCATCCGCTGCGCTTCAACTGTCACGTTCCTTCTGGCACCTTGCTGGCAGGATCGCTCTGTTTCCCTCAAGATTTTTACTCGCCAGATGCTTGTATAATACATTCGGCAGAGAGGTAAATCTCCGAACAGATGAATATCGTCATAGCAGTAAAGACGATGAGTATCGTCGTATCAGTTTTTTTTTCTTTAAAATCAACACTGTCATAAAAAACGCCTATTATAAATGAACTTTAATAAATGTTCTGAACATTTCTTAAAAAATAAAACCAAATCTTGATGTTTTATTTTTTATAAGTAATATTTAGAAAATGTAATCAAAAGGATGAAAATCCGGATGCATAGATAGATCATACCAAAAGAAAATGTCCAAAACAGCTAAATTTGTGTTTACGTTCTACTCTTATGAAAATTAAAACATCAACGTATGTAAACTAAAAGACACGCACGAAACAAACAAACAAATATCGGCAAGAGGAACGTACACAGACAAATCGGTCCAAGTTCGCGACACTTAATGACATATCCCGTACTGACTGACAAACAAAACAATGCTCCTATTGCATGTACTGTATTCATTGTCTGCAGGACGATTTTGCATTTTAATACATTCGCTGCGGATAGATAAAGAAACATTCACTTTTCTGTAATAACTGTTGAATCAAACAAATTCGCTTTAACAAAGTAATTTTAGTAATACAAATTATTTTTTTCCTCAAAGCAATTCAGGTAATTGCGATCTCAATAGTTGGAGTCCTACTGTAAATGCTCATGCTAAATTTTCGAGCTCAGCTGCTTGAGGAAAAACATAAAATAATTGTTGTAAGCCGAGTGAACAATCTACTATTTCGTGTTTTCAACCACCCCAGATTCCAAGTGTTGGGTGTTCCTCACTACTATTATTTTCGACATGATCGTTTTAGTTAATGCATAGAAATTAAACATAGAATGAGGATTACAATCAAAAATATTTTGATACCAAAATAAATTATCAATTTCTAATTAACGCTAGAAAATTCATAATATTATTTATGTACCTAGAGGAGTTTCTGTATTCCAAACTTCTCGAATAATAATAGGGTGTTCATATCATTCCCACAATCTTCAACAGAGAAAAGATTTGCATGCCAAATAATGAATATTTAAGACACCTATCATCACAAATATTAATCTCTTACAACTGCGTGCAAAGTGCCAGTTTATTTTAATTACTAAGCCCCGCAATTCTTGAAAATAAACTCGACCAACTCACACTAGTCATGAAGACAAGGTGGGTCATTAACCAGAACTTGCACGTTACACCGGAGCTTGGCTGCAGGAATTCCGATGCACCACGTTGAAGTATCTGGTTTCGTTTGGCCCCTAGTCAGGAACTGTTGCCAGCTTCCGCATTTTGGCATTCATTCCAGGAGGCTACATGTGTTTCCCGCACGCCCACTATCGTGTCGCCTCGTCAACGGACAAAAAATGTTTTGTGGTTGTTTTTAACACGCTCTTTTTATATATCTGCGGAGGAGGATTAAGAAACAGAAATTCTCGTTTTCTATTAAATGTGTGGGAACGAATGCTGACTCCTGGGTTATACGAAATAATTTTAGAAGAAAACTTTCCAGTGAAAAAAAGCTATTTTCATATTATGTCAGTGAAATGAACTGGCATGACGTCATTTTGCTGAATTAAGATTCATCAGAATTTTCTTAACAGTTATTGGACGAGTGAATAAAAAGGCAGAATTTGCTATAAATATTACGTTTTAGCAAAAGAAAATGCTGCCGTGCATTTAGTTGAAGCAATCACATTTTCTACAAATTGTGGGAATAATATTTTTTAATGCAATGAAGTAATTCTGAAAAATTGAAACTTTTGTTTGATAAATCTCAGCAAACCTGACTACCTCATTGAAGTCATGGTGCATTGCGAATAACACGAAAGAGTATATGACGTCGGATAGACTAATATGATCCCAACAACAACAACAACAACAATAATAATAATAATAATAATAATAATAATAATAATAATAATCAGCACACATGAGCCATAACAATCTTCAATAAACTACCTTTGAAACAAAAAACAAAAGCAAGACCAGTGGTCAGGAAAATAAATTCTCGATAAAATCAATGCACAGACTTCTCAGCCACTGGAAAATGGTTAGATATAGAATTATATGCTCAAACTGAGGGTTTCTTACTAGTCATTCAATATGAAGTTATTACTACTCGAAACTACAAAAAACAAGTTCAAAAAGATGCCAAGGCCCAATCTGATAAACGCCGCAGATGTAATGTGTGGACGAATAATATAAATCATATCATTTCAAGATGTGCAATCCTCGCACACACAGATTACACAATTTGCCATTATACACCAACAAATTGCAACTAATCATCAATTTAGAGATCATCATGCCCTTTACAACTCATACAAACCTGAACCTTTGTAGGAAAATGAAACGGTCAGAATTTATTTTGATCGCACAATTTTGACGCACATGACTAGACATAAGAGGCCATATATTGTGATAACTCTCAAGGTGACAAAAACTACTTTTATCATTGATGTTGCAGTCCCTTTCTAAAAGAACATGCAAAAAACATTCTCGGAAAAAATAAGGAAGTACAGTGATCAGGCACATGAAATAAATGATCGATGGAAACAGGACCAAGTTTTCATTCTCCCAATGGTTATCCCCAGTACTGGCCTTATAGAAAAACACGATAAAGAAATCCTTCAAAATCTCGATATCCCTTCAAGGCTTTAAAAATTGATACAGAAGTGTGTTATCATAAATACTTGCCGCATTGTCTGGAACTTTCTAAATTCATATTCTTAAATAAATAGCAAATAACACTCTTGGCGAAAAGACCGTTGTTATTTGAGAATAAGGTCTTCCTGCCGATCAGCAAAGTGTAAACATAAATTTATAATAATAAACTTCAACTTCATGGTTGTTTGAAGGATTATCCATTACATTTTAACAAATGATGTTGCGCAACATGTCAATGTACGTCAAGAATATTTCGTGTATAACATTTTACAGACCATATCTCATACTGCACATGGAAACGTGAAGCGATCCGATTATTCTATTTTTGATACGGCTACATGTTAGCAGGCGGAAGCAAATCCACAAGTGTATCTTTGCAACAATTGTCTCTAGAACAACGCTAATAGTGTTGTTGACTGTTATTCAATGAACACCACTATCCTTGCCAGTATCCAGTTGAAAACCAGGATCACTCATAAATCGCAGAAAAATGTCCATTCGTTGTTTCAATGCAAGAGCACCTCCCATCATTTTAGTTGCACTGCCAAGAATTTGCTATCTGAATCACTCAGTATTTTCATCACGAAATCCGAACAGAGAATGATAATCACAATTGGGAGTCTCAACACGCATACGACAAAATTTGAACTTCTAAATTACATGTATTCAGCCAATTCTTCTACGTTTTTAACACTTCTAGGGAGAGTAGACCCACACTAGAGAAAATTGAAGCACTTGATTTTGTGTGAAATAATATGCCTGGGTTTTATTCACACCTTTTCAATCAATTGCTGAAAAGTGCAGCATTTGCTACCCTCTTTCTCGTTTTACAAACTTTCAAGCAATTCCTCATTTTTTCTAGTAAAAGCATGTACTGTCTCTATATTCATTAAACTCACTGTCAACATAATGTGTGCTAATTGTTTGAGATTCTAAGTTATATCAAAGAATTTTTCATGTATCTTCGCCCTATATGTGCATTTTTTCTTTGAAGTTTTCAATATATTTCAAACTTGACGACATCCAACATTATTTTTCAGCAAACATTAAATATTATTTTAGGAGTTAATACATTTGTTAAAAATTATGATGGAAATGTTATGATAACTAATCAATTGCCGCATCATTAAGGTCGTGCGTGATTTTTGATTTCATATTACAACTATGAGAGTCAACATTCGGTTAACGATATGTGGGAAAGGTAATATGTAAATGAATAATACTCTACCTGACAAAAAATGATGCACCCAAAAGGAGTGGTCGAAAGTACATGAAACTACATATGCTGAGAGACCATGTAACTTTATTGAACTGATTACAATATGAGATGGAAGAGACAAGGCCATTGACGGTTACAGGTGGAAAGTTAGCGCCATGTTAGTAGGGTGTCACACCTCTGACTGCAATACATGCTCTTATACGGCTCGGAATGGTATCAAAGAGTCTTTGGATCCTCTCTTGAGGCAAGTTCATTCACAGTTGTGGCAGTTTTTCCTCCAAATTCTGCAGGTTAATACTGCGAGAGAGTCTCCTTCCAATGTCATCGCACACATATTCAATGAGAAAAGGTCCGACGATCTTGCTGGCCACGGGAGGACCTTAACATGCTCTAGGCAGTCCATAGACACACGTGCTGTATGAGGGTGTGCATTATCTTTTTGAAATACTGTCCCAGGGTGCTGTGCCATAAGGGGTAGGACGTGCGGGCGCACAATGTCTGTGACATAAAACTGTGCCGTCAAAGTCTGTCGAAGTACTAATAGAGGTATTTTGACTAATAGAGGTGACGCATGCTCCGATGGCTCCTCACCCCATGTTGCCCGGGGTTACCTCTGTATGTCTCTCCAGAATATGGACATATGTGCCCTCTGCCGTTCACGCCACCACACTCGCTCACGATGCTCATTATAGGTAAGAAAGCGGAACTCATCACTAAACATGCTGAGACGTTATTCGTCTTTTGTCCATGCCTTCCCGGCTCGGCACCAATCCAAACACCGACGTCAGTGTTCTGGTGTCAAGGGGAACCAATGAATGGGGCGGTGGGACCCCAACAGGCGGAAGCGAGTCGTCGAGTCACCCCATCTCGATCATGTTTTTGTCCAGTTTCCCTGGTCCATTGAGCAAATGCTGAGATGGCCCCTTGTTTTCTTCTGGACGTAAATGTAGCTCCACTATGCGCACGTTGTGTTCAACTCTCCGTTTGCTTGTAATAGTAGGAGTAGAGGTAAGGGCGAGTTACTATTTTGTTAGCAATGCAGAAAAATCATACATGCAATTCGTCTACCGATGCAAATAAGTTTTCTATAACTCGGAAACGAAAATGTCTATTTTTTCAAATATTGCTTATCTTGCGATTTTTAAAATTTATTTTTATTTGTTTATGTTAAACTTTGTCTCATCTTTCAACTATTTATAGTTAAAATGACGGGAAGGGATTCTGGAACTCAAGAAAACGTGCGCAGATAATCTTCTCCCCCATACATTACATACAGTTTTTACTGTTTTTGACTAAATAAATCTAAATAAATATATTTAAATCGAGCCACTATGCGGGAACTCACAGAATATTCTAGAGTCGCCAGTATATGTTCGCGGATGGCGAGTGTTGACGTCACGAGATTTCACACTGCTTGGCGCACCCTAGGACGGTCCTTCCTGGGGGGTTGATTTTCTTGGTCGACTTGAACGACGTACGTAGGGTCCTCATACACTCATTGATTCCAGCATCGACCACTGTGGAATCTGAATGGCTCACATGCCTGGCAATTGCACGACCGACCAGCCTCATGAAATCCCACAAGACGGTTTCTGTCAAATGCATTCACTTGGTGGATAGGCTGTCGATCGCGGTTGGGTGGCATGGCGGGAGCGTCTTATTGTAGGTAAACGTCGTTCTTTGCTGTCTGACTCAAAGCAGTTGAGTGACAACAACTGCGCAACAACAGGGTGGAGACATCACGAATGCACTCTGGTGGGCATTCTACACATTACAGGAACGCGTAAATCTAATAATTTACCCATACATCAATGCATGTATACCAAAATGGAATATTATTGAACAAACCCTTCTGGGTGCATCACTTTTTTTTCAGGAACTGTATGTGTATGCACGTTACATACACATATAAGCAAAATATTTTGCTTATAAATTAGTTTCCATTCAGTGTCCAAAAATATAATAAATTACGTGTTTTTTCATTTCAATAATTAATTATATTAACATCACAGTCGTCAAATAAAATTGCCTAACAAAGAGGTATGCATTTAAATAATATATTAAATAAATAAAATCGACAGGTTTCCGTAAACATAGTTACTTGGCTTTTACCGATGTTACATATATTTCGAGTACTGTATTCCCATTAAACAACGACCTTTTGATAATTGAATCTCTCCTTACGTAAGCAAAACTAGTACAGAGAAGAATAAAAACAGTGTCTCTGTGTGTACTAATACTTAAAACTGTGTTTGGATACTTCAGATGTTTCACTTAATGCTGTGTTTATTCCGCACTGTGTATATGCTGTTCGTGGGTTCTCGGAACACTACACATGCGTCTGACTGTGTTTCTTCAACTTTCGTTTTAGAAAAAGAAATGGGCCACAGTAAGCGTTTAGTCGTAAAAAAATACTGAGTGTCAAAATATTTCACCTTATTTTTGGAAAAAAAGCCTCTTTGAACTCCCCACTCCACATCAGAACTGGCGGTACTTCTGGCTAGCACCTGGAAAATGGATCTTTAGGAAACCCCAAACTGGGATAAAAATAGATGAAGTGCCGTCAAGCAGAATAGTTACTCAAGAAATTATGTTTATGAAGGAATTGTTTTCAAAAACGTTTTGAAGTTTTATAGGTCTTTCTCAAAATATATTTTTACAAAACCGACAAAAAAGAGCGATAAAGAGCTAACGAATCCAAAGGTATATCACTAAATCAAAAATATTATTCAATTGAATGCAAGTGAAACAATAGTAAGGACGCACTCAATATATTTTCAGGATAATCTAAATATAAATTTTGATAATATTTATCATTCAAAGAATACCAATTTTATTAAAGAAGAATTTTACAGAATTTACTTTTCAATCTTTTGGATTTAGGAATTGATATTTATTATTATTATTATTATTATTATTATTATTATTATTAATATTATTAATTTATTTTATGTCGTATCAACTACAAAAGATTATTAGCGAAATATACACAATAACATTATTATTTCAGTATATAGAATGCTAGGACCCTTAGGCTGGGAACATTCATTTCAGATTATTGAACAGTTTATTAATTTTTCTTATATATCACTGTACAAGTTCACGCCCTTCAAATATTGAAAAACCGACTGCATTGTTCTCTGTCCTTTAAAACTCTTGACATGTCGTTATTGACACCATATTTCGTCAAGTCACCCTCAAATCTGGGACATAGAAATAGATTGTTAATATCCATAGAAACTTTATACACAATACACATAACAACACAATACACATCCCGGAGATCAGATGGGCAGGTGTGAACTTGGTGTTACCTATTCTGCATCTTAGTTAAACAACCTGGTTTCAGCTCTTCAGAAGGATATGGTTGGATTATAATCCTCGTATTCACATTTACTTCTTAATTTGCAGCGAGGCTTGTTGTTCCATTCATGTCTGTACAATTCTTGTAGTTTTCTCTTGATGCTGGCGTGATAGTCCTGAGGTAGTATGGGAAGGTTGCTTCTTTCTTGAGTTGTGACATCTCTTTTGCAGATCTGACTGGAAACTCATTCTCGATGAAACCCACATGGTCCGGGATCCATCCAAAAGCTCTTTACCTTTAATGTTAGAGTTCCTTATCATACTAACAATATTCGAGACTAGCAGATTTCCAGAGTGAAAGGCATTTCCAATAACCGACAGAGCCAATTCGGAGTCTGTTACTATCAGAAATTTGCGTTCACTGTCTTCAAGAATGTAGTCTAGTGCGTATAACTCGCTGGACAAAAGGGAGTTCTTGTAGGGCAGTTTGCTTGATATTACTCTTGTTGGCGTTTTAGCGGCACAACTCACTAAGTGGTTGCTCTTCGGTCCATCTGTGTTTACATTGTTGTAGTTTAAATATTTGGAAATTTCTTCTCCTATTCTGTCTCTTATCTCTTGATTGTGAGTTTTTGACTCCTTAGAATTGTTTATCAGCTCCTCAGCTTTAAAGTACCGCATAGTCCACGGTAGAGAGCAATTAACACTTAAAGGTTTAAGTGGGGGAATTCATTCTAATCTTGTGCTTAGTATCTGTGCAGCCTGTACAGTAATTGGTTTGGAGTGTTTCTTTTGAAGTCGTAGTTTCTTATTGTATATTTTCTGTATGTAAGCTGGAAAATTTAGTTGATAGGATTCCCGCCGTTTACTGTAACTTAGATTATATATCCTAGGACTTGATTTCTTGTTATTTTATCTAGGGGTGGTAAATTAGTTTCCTGTGACATGCTTATCACCGAACCGTTTCTATATTCTC